GCCTGGCAGCGGAGCACGACATCCAGCAGGGGTGGCAACGCGTCCAACGCCGCAGCGTCCAGGCGCAGCCTCTCAGGCGCGGGCAGTCCCGCGTGGCTCGGTGCCGGGGCACTCAGGCCGGCCACAGACAGCCGCGGTGGCGAGAAGCCTGGTAGCCCGAAGGGGTCTCCCTGGTGCTGCACCTAAGGAGACACAGCCTGCGGGTCAGCGGGGCTCTCCTAGGTGTGGCCCCGGGTGGGACCTCCTCCATGCTTAATGGACCCTCCCCCCTCCTCTCCAGGAGCTTCAGTTTCCTCATCTGGCAAATGATAAATCCCTCATTGCAGGGCTGCAGTGTTTGAAAGAATACGAAACAACAGAAACACAACGGGAGCTTTACATGAACGCCTGTTTCCTCATCTCTGAAATGGGTAAGAGTTTCAACTTGATGTGGTGGTTTTGAGTATGTATAGTGCTTCAAAGACTGGCCCATAGGAGAGAGTCAATAAATACTAGTCTTTTACTAATGTTACCTTACAGACTAGGGTTCAAATTCTGTCTTCACCACTTATTAGTTGTGCCCTTTAGGTAAAAATCACTTCCCTGCTCTGAGCCTTAGTCTTCTCTGTAAAGTGGAAAACACTCTCAGTCATGTCTTCTTAGCAGGGATCTTCTGAGAATCATATGAGCTATCTTATCCTCCCTTCCCCAGAAAGTCAGGCAAGTAGTTGTGGTACATTGAATAACCCTCATAGGAACAAACAAATGAAAGATAATGGTGAAAGTTATTTGCAATTTAAATGACTATCACAATAGCATCCTTTCCTAACCTCTCACCTCCTGTCCAGTTCAGGCATTGTGCTGGCTGCTTTCCAATAGGGACTAGGATGATGAGGATGATGAGGATTTTATAAATGAAGAAACTGCACTAAAGGGGTACAATGACTTGTCCTAGATCACCATCTAGTAAGCAACTGAGCTGGAATATGAACCAGAGTTGGTAGGACCACAAGACCAGTCTCTCTCTCTTACCCCAAATCATGATTATTCTATTACTGCCTAATGTCATAGTCAGCAAGTTGGTAGGTTTGGGTCTGCCTAGTCGCTATGGGTCGGAACCGACTCGAAGGCACTTAACAACAACAACAACAATTTAAACTACATCTTCTCTCCACTACGCCAAGGAAATCTTAGGTAAACACTTTTCCTTGGGCAGGACCTTCTGCCCAACCAATGATGCCAGCAGAGCCACCTCCTCTGTAAAAATCTCCTCTTGAGATGGAATTTTTATCCCAGATTTAAAACTGCTATTGGCCTCTCTGAATATCAAGCTAAATCAATTCACAATGCATCTCCTTCAACTGCCTCCATGAGATGAATGCCCATGGAGATGAGATAAGATTACATACAAGGGGGCTTCAAAAAGTTTGTGGAAAGTTTCATTATCATTTCATCCTGTTTTCTCATGAACTTTTTGAAGCCCCCTCATAGAGACCAGACCCCAGTCTTTCTCAGGACTTTGAACCAATTCAAACCAGTTCAGTATGGCTGATGAAGCAAAATCAGAACAGACTTGAATATTTGAAATCTGGTGAAGCAGAATGATAACTGAACGAAGAAAATTATGAGTTGATGTCCTGGAATAGGAAACTTAGAAGAGCCATAGTGAGCCCTTTCAGGTGCCTGATGCATGAACTTAGGTTACTGCTGGGACAGTGGAGAGCCACACACATTCAAAGCAGTGTGGGTCATTCATTCACCATCTTTGAGTGGGGTACCATGGTTTCTGACTCTTCTGACCTAGAGATTGGGTTGCTATGCAACTTGCACACTGCCCTTGTTTTCTAGGAGTAGATTATGTTTCTAACAGGGTGTTGACCTGTAATTTTTTCCATACTGTTATCATTCCAGTTCACCCACATTTTACAAGTTTGAGTCCCTTCCAGTTTTGCTTTGTTGGCCAGGACTGAACTGGGAAGAACCAGTTTGAAGCCCTAGTTTTCCTGATTCTCAGATCAGAGTTCTCTTCACACTCGTAGATGGCCTCTGACTTAAAGCTATGAGGAGGGAAACTCCAAAATGAGGACAGGGGGCATTTGGGATACAAGAACCTCCTCCAATTGTCCAAGGGCAAATTACTGTCCATCTCAAGGATCCTCATAGTAACTGGGAAATGAGGTTGAGAAACTGGATGGTCCAGGACTCCTGTGATCTGTGCTTCTCCATAAGCCCCTAAGCCCCAGCTCCCTCATCCCCAACGCCTTCTATCCCGATTCCTACTCACATATTCCTGGAACAGCTGCTCAGCATATTTGGTGAGGAGGTGGGCAAGGCTATGAGTCTGACGGATCTTGGCCTCCAGGTGGGGAAGGAGTGAGATTGAGGAGTCAGCTTGGAGGTCTTCTGGGGAAAAAGGGAGTAGGGATAAAGGTAGCCCAAACCCATACTTCCTGGTTCCTCCTTCAGGAATCTAGCAGCTCTGCTCAGATTTTTTCCATTTTTGAGCCTGGCAGAGTCTGGTCCCATACCAACTGAGGACCCAGATCTTTTCCAAGCAGCTGTTCTACCTGAGGTGTGTCCCCTGTGCCCAAATTGTTGTTGAAATTGCCTGAAGGCCAAATTAAAATACAGCCTCCTCAGTGTGACCTCCAGATTCACCTGTCTCTCAAATTAACTTCTTCCTTTAACTTTATTTGCTCATACTTCAGAAGCTGCTCTTTTAATGGTAGATTATAATCCTATCTGTGTATCTGCCTCAACCTGGTTCCCTAAATGGATAGAACTGTCCTATCTATTTCTGTACTTCAGTGACTTATTTTTGGAATTCAACATCATTAAAGCAGAACATTTCAAATAAAAATGGACCTATAAGGAAACAACCCCTTCATTTTACAGATCCGGAAATCTAAGTCCCATTCGCTTTCTAATTCCTTTGATGCAAGTCACTGGGATGGACCCTGGAAAGCATCAATGAAACAGCTACCCGTCCTAAGGGACACAAATCATGGGGTAGCGACCAAGAAGGGGAGGACTACATTTCCCGAGATGTACGGCGCGCGCCCAGATGCATACTGGGGGATGTAGTAGGGGACCGGCATCTCCCGCCCGCCGTCCGCCAGAGTTTCCCACTGCATGTACAGTTCCTGAGCTGCTTCGACTTTCGTCTCCTCTGGTCACTGACTATCTCTTGTAGCCCCAAAACTTTCTTCCCAATTCTACTGCTCTATAAAACTTTCTCCCCAATTCTACTGCTCTTTCCGCACCCAAGCTCTGATTATTTCTCGAGACTAAGAGTGGATCCAGGCGTCCAGCCCCCTGCCCCGATTCCAGGTGTACTCGAAGCGGGTATCTGGCCGCTAAGCCCAAGTCCCTGGAAGCGCAGCAGGCCTCCACTGAACCTTCCCTGCTCCCTTCCCACAACTCACCCACTCGTTAACTGACACGAGGGTAAGCTCCTGCGCCCAGGCCGCTCCCGTCCCAGATTTGAGGACTCTGACCCTAGCTCCTAGCCCTTCTGACCTTTGCTTCCCTCGGTAAACCAGCATCCGGCCCATCGTCCCTTACCCAGACTTCCCTCCCTCCGGCTCATGCTGGCCTTAGGCAGATCCCGGTTACCTCCACGCCCCCCTTTAGAAGGGGGACAGGGTAGAGGCGTGGCTCGTGGGTAGCCAATCAGGACCCAGACCCCAAACTCCCCCCCACTCCCCCGCCCCACACCTCCACTCCCAAGCAGGACGCTTTGGCCCTGAGCTCAACTCTCAGCCTGTGCCGCCTAGCCCGCGTAGGGACCTGAGTGAGGAAAGCAGCTTATAGGCACGGTGGGTTTGGGCCCTGAAACTGAGGGTGCCTAGACATGGACAGCAACTCTGCGTTCCGCCAGGAGGAGGAGGCTCAGGGGCTGGCCCTGGGACTAGGAGATTGGAGAGGAAGGCTGGAGGACTGGCAAAGCAGAATGTGCAGGCCCTTCCCTTGAGGGGGCTAGGTGTAAGGAATGCCCCTAGGCATCTAGGCTCACACTTACCCAGAAATACACCTGTATCCTGAGGTATTCCATCAGTCAGCATAACTTCTTTGTCACCCTGATAATCAGATTCTCCCTTCTTCAAGCACAAACTAGTTGTCACACCTACCAGAAGGGCGATGTATCTATCACCTCATCTCACTTTATCAGGCCCAGTGACATCCCCACTAACACATACATGCATCTATTGAGGATTACTGCATACAGACACTCAAATCTCACACAGCAGCACACTTCAGAGCCGGGGACAGGAGGCCACACCTACTCATAACCCCACTAACCTGGTGCAGATAGACACTGGAGGGTCCACACACATTGATCTCCACAGGGCCTGGAGATGATCCATACAGGGTCTCTGAGTCTCTGAGGAGCTCACTGTCTGATGAGAGAGGCCATAGACAATGCAGTTTGTGAGCCAAAGTATATGTCTGTGAGAATGTAAAATAAAGCAAGAAGGGATTAATTGACAGAGGGCACAGCAGGTGCAATTTTGTTGTTGTTGTTAAGTGCCCTTGAGTCATTCCATCCCATAGGGACCCTGTATAGCTGCTCCAAGGAGCAGCTGGTAAGCTTGAACCATAAACTGGTTTAAATAGCATTGCACTCTGGTGCATTAACCCACAGAGCCACACCAGGACTCCAGGTGCAATTTAGGCAGGACTTTATTCACAACTAATATTTATTGGGGGAGTCCTGGTGTGGCACTGCGAGTTAATGTACTGGACTACAAGGTTAGTTTGAACCACAAGGTTGATGGTTCAAGCTCACCAGCCACTCCTCTGAAACCCTATGAGTTAGAACCAACTTGACAGCTCTTAACAACAACAACATTATTTGGAGTCCTGGTGTGGATAAGCAGTGGGCCATAAGGTCGATAGTTCAAATCTACCCAGCTGCTCCTTGGAAACCCGTTACAGAATCGCTATGAGATGGATGGCACTTAACAACAACATTTGAGGGTTTACTATGGGCAGGGCTCTGTTCTAAGAGCTATATATGTATTCATGTACTAACTTACTTACAAAAATCTAATAACATAGGTAATATTCGATTTTTGTAATATTCTGTTGTTAAGTGCCATCAAGTCGTTTCTGACTCATGTTGTTATTGTTGTTGTTAAGTCAATTTGGTTCCGACCAATAGTGACCCTGTATAGGGTTTCCAAGGAGCAGCTGGTGAGTTTGAATCACCAACCTTGCAGTTCAAACCGACTTTGCATTTCGTAACCACCTTTCTGGAGATGGTCACATAACAGTAAAGACATCCCCTTGCAACAGTGGCACACACAAACAAAATAACACAAATTTGTTGTTGTTAGGTGCAGTCGAGTTGGTTGTTGTTGTTGTCAGGTGCCATCGAGTCAGAACCGACTCATAGCAACCCATGCACAGCAGAACGAAACAATGTCCGATCCTGGGCCAACCTCACTACCGCTGCCACACTTGAGTCCATCAATGATGCCACCTGGCCAATCCATCTCGTTAGGGGTCTTCCTCTTTTTCTCTGACCCTCCACCTTACCCAGCATGACATCCTTCTCCAGCGACTGTTTCCTCCGGACAATATGTCCAAAGTATGAGAGACGAAGCTTAGCCATCCTGGCCTCCAAGGAGCACTCTGGTTGCACTTTTTCCAAAACAGATCTGTTGGTTCTTTTGGCAGTCCATGGCACTTTCAGTATTCTCCTCCAACACCACAACTCAAAGGCATCAATTCTTCTACGATCCTCCTTATTCACTGTCCAGTTTTCGCATCCATATGAGGCTATTGAAAACACAATGGCCTGGGTCAGGCGCACCCTAGTCCTCAAGCTGACATCTCTGCTCTTCAGTACTTTAAAAAGTTCCTGTGCAGCAGATTTGCCCAGTGCTTGCTATACGTCGTCTGATCTCTTGACTGCTGCTTCCGCGAGTATTGATAGTTGATCCAAGAAGAATGAAGTCCTTGACAACTTCAATTTTTTCTCCATTGATAAGAATGTTGTTTATTGGTCCAGTGGTGAGGATTTTTGTTTTCTTGACATTGAGATTGTAATTCATATCAAAGGCTGTGCTCTTTGATCTTCATAAGTAAATGTTTCAAGTCCTCTTCACTTTCAGCAAGCAAGGTTGTATCATCTGCATTTCGCAGGTTGTTAATGAGTCTTCCTCCAATCCTGATGCCACGTTTTTCTTCATAGAACCCAGCTTCTCGGATTATTCGAGTTGGTTAGACATGGTTAACTCTGCTGACAAGCACAGCTTCCAATAAATTCAACCAAGACACAGTTTCTTGAAGGAAAACTCATTATTAAAGTAGACTATACATGTAGGAAAGTAGACTATACATAACATACAGCTTGATGACTTCCACAGGGTAAACATGCCCAGGAAACCAGCACCATTTCAAGGAACAGAACCGGACCTGCTTGGAGAAGCCCCTCTCCTAATCTCTCCCTCAAGTGACCACTATCTTGCCTTCTCACACCATAAATTAATTTTGCCATTTTTGAACTTCATATAAGTGGAATCTTGTGTCTGGTTATTTTCTTTCAAGATTTTGTTCAGGAGATTTGTCCATGTTGTTGGGATTAGCAGGAATCAGCCATTCTCATTGCTGTGTTCATGATGTGAACAGGCTTCAGTTCATTTGTGGTGTCTTGTTGATGAACATTTGGAGTATTTCCAGTTTGGGGTGATTATGAATAGTGCTATGAACTTTATAGTGCATGTCTCCTGATGCTCATACCTATGCATTTCTGCTGGGTGTTGATGATTTAGGATGGAACCACTGGATCCGGTGGTTAGCCTCACTAGAAAATGCCTGTTTTCCAAAGTGACTCTATCAATTTACACACCCCCAGAAATTTGAGGGTAAGTCAAAAAGTATTGCTACTAGGGTTCCAGTTTTTAACACATAGGTTTAGTCCAAACAAAAACGTGTTTAAGCATGTCTCTGTGATCATTTGATGGCTGCAGACAAGTTCTCTCAGGAATACACTTGTCTCGTTGTTGTTAAGTGCTATCACGTCAGTTCCAGCACATAGCAACACTGTGAGCTTGTGGTTCAAATCGACTTTGCAGTCCAGCACATTAATCCCCAGTGCCACACCAGGACTCCTTAGTCTCATTAGGGTGCTTTCAAAAAAAGAGGTCCAATCAAAACAGTGGCTTCTGGGGGGGATCTGCTGGGTCAGTTCAATTCAAGGCAGAGAGGTCAGCTCAGAAGGTGACTGTTTTTTGGAATTCCAAAGGAGTAACCTTGATAGATTTCCCCAAAGGTCAAAGGATGATCACAGAAGCTTATTTTAAAGTTTTAAGACAACAGAAAACTGCACTGGTGAGGAAAAGACCAGGAAAGGTGCACTGAGTAATATCCCCCCTCCCCCCCCAAAAATCAGGACATTTCACCTGCTCAGTCTTCAAGCAAGGGCTGTCCTATAAAAATTTTGTTGGGAAACCTTACCCCATCCACCCCAATCTTGCCCCTTCAGACATCTTTTTTGTACCAAAATTCACAGCACATTTAAAAGGAACACAATTTGAGTCCCTCAAAGGTGCCAAAACTGCCGTTTTGAGTGATACAAACCGTAGAGTGCTGAGTTCTGATTGGGGAAGGTTAGAGGTATGGAAATGCCACCTTCAGATGTGTATAGACCTAGATGGATGATTTTCATAAACAACAGCTCCACATTTTGATACTTCTGTTTAATAAAGGTTTCTTTAATTTTGTATCAATACTTTTTGGCCTACCCTTGTATAAGAGAGTTCTACTCGCTCAGCTTCCTTGCCTACACTTGGTATGAGCTGTCATTTTCATTTTAGTCGTTCTGGTGGGTGAAGAAGCCTTGGTGGCGCTGTGGGTTAGGCGCTGGCCTGCTCAGGTGGAGAAAGAAGAGGCTGTCTACTCTCGTAAAGGACTTACAGTCTCAGAAAACCCTATGAAGGGTCGCTATGAATAGGAATAGACTAGAATGCAGTGAGTTCGGATGGATGGAGACCCACACATACTGGCAGTACCTGGCGTGTTGCTGGCTCTCAGTAGACTGCTAAATGAACGGATGTTAAATGAATCAGACAACCTGGCAGGGGTGGTCACACACACACACACACACACCATTCCAGGGACGCCCACGTACAGGGGACGACACCCGGACACCGGCCCCGCGCGCATCCCCGGCGCCCACGTGGCCTGAACGCACCGCCTCTGGCGGGTCGCGCGCGTCCAGTCGCGGAGCTGCCCTTAACTCTCCTTCTCGGTGGCGGGCAGGGGGCGCTGCGCGTCCGGACGCCCCGAGGGGGCGGGCCCGGGGCGGGGCGGAGCCGGCCAGGCTTCCAGACCTCAGTTTTGGTCGCCAGCGCAGCCCGGCCGCTCCAGGACGGGCCGGGGCGGGGCGCGGCGGCAGGAAGCGGGGCGGGGACTCGCGGAGGCGTTGGGGAGCGTGGGAGGGCGCGGCCAACTCCCCGAGGGACCGGAGGCCGGGAGAGCTGCGCCGCTGCCTGGCGCCAAGCCTGAACCCGCCGGACGGGAGGCGGCCCCGCCACGGGTCTGGCCTCGGCCCCAGCCCCGCCAGCATGGCCGGCCGGACTG